AATCAAACACATTCCTATACATCAGCGATGAATCCACTGAACGAGAAATTGGGAAAACTAAACCGTTCACCATAGCCTCAAAAAAAAAAAAAAAAAAAAAAAAAAACAACCCTTGAGAATCAATCTAACAAAAGAGGTGAAAGACCTGTACAGAGTAACTACAGAACACTAAAGAAAGTAACTGACGAAAACATCAGAAGATGGAAAGATCTCCCACTCTCCTGGATAGGCAGAATTAATATTGTCAAAATGGCCATTTACCAAAAGTGATATACAGATTTTTTAATGCAATTCTTATTAAAATCCCAATGACACTTGATTCAATATACAACCAGAGATATGAAAAAATGTGCTTTTTATGTGTAATAAGAATTGTAATCCATTCTGCTGTCATATAGAAAGAAAGAGAGAAAGAAAGAAAGAAAAAGAAAGAAAGAAAGAAAAAGAAAGAAAGAAAGAAAGAGATAGAAAAGGTCCTGAGGATATCAGCATCTCAAAATTTTAATTGTGCCTGTACATATATTTGAATGAACAAATAAGTATAATGTAGGGAAGTAAATGACAAGGGATTCCTTACACTTAGATCATATGCTCCTGAAGGATGTCAGCCTACAGATACTGGTTTGTAATTTGTAATATTTTTTTCAACCAAAACTCTTTTTTTTTCTAAATAAAATCTAATGTAGAAGAGTTTTTTAAAAATCCCAATGACATTATTCACAAAAATAGAAAAAGCAGTAATGAAATTTATTTGAAAAAATAAGAGACCCAGAATAGCTAAAGCAATCCTTAGCAAGAAAAGTGAAGCAAGAAGCATCACAATACCAAACCTTAAACTATACTACAGAGCTACAGTAACAAAAAGCGTATAGTATTGGCACCAAAATAGGCTTGTAGACTAAGTGAAATAAGCCAGTCCTGAAAAAACAAAGGCCAAATGGTACAGAGCAGAGGACACAGAGACAAACCCACATAAATATGGTTATGTCATACTAGACAAAGGTGTGAAAAATATTCACTGGAGAAAAAATAGCCTCTTCAACTTATGGTGCTGGGAAAATTGGAAATCCATATGTAGCAAAATGAAATTAAACTTCTATCTCTCATTCTGCAAAAATCAACTCAAAGTGGATCAAAGACTTAGGCACTAGAACAGAGACCCTGCACCTAATAAAAGGAAATAATAGGCCCAATTCTTTACCATGTTGGCCTAGGATCTGACTTCCTTAACAAGACTCCTAAAGTGCAAGAAGTAAAATCAAGAATTAATATGTGGGATGGATTCAAATTAAAAAGCTTCTTTTCAGCAAAAGAAACAACCAATATTGTAAGAAGAAAGCCTACAGATTGGGAGAAAATCTTTACCACATGTACCTCTGATTAACCATTAATCTCTAGGATATATGAAGAACTCAAAAAACTTAACATCAAAAAAAAAAAAAACACATAATCCAATTAATAAATGGGCTAAGAAACTGGACACTTCACAGAAGAAGAATTACCATCATTCAACAAATATATGAAAAAGTGTTCAACATCTCTAGCAATTAGAGAAATGCATATTAATACTACTCTAAGATTTCATCTCACTCCTGTCAGAATGGCAATTATCAAGAATACAGGCAACAATAAATGTTGTCGAGGATGTGAGGAAAATGGTACATTGCTTGTGGTACTGCAAGTTGGTGCAACCACTGTGAAAAGCAGTATGGAGATTCCTTAGATAACTTTGAATGAAACCACTATTTGACCCAGCTATCCCACTCTTTGGTTTATACCCAAAGGACTTAAAATCAGCATACTACAGTAATATAGCTATGTCAATGTTTATAGCAGCTCAATTCACAATAGCTAGATTATGGAACAAACCTAGGTGTCCCTCAACAGATGAATAAAAATGTGGTATATCTACTCAATGGAATATTACTCAGCTTTAAAGAAGAGGGAATTTATGGCATTTGCCAGTAAACGGATGGAGTTGCAGAATATCATGCTAAGTGAAATAAGCCAATCCTGAAAAACCAAAGGCCAAATGATTTCTCTAATATGCAGATGCTAATTCACTATAAGGCAAGGACCACTGAAGAAGAATAGCATTACCTCAAATTAGGTAGAGGGAAGTGAAGGGAGAGAAGGGGAGGGGATGAGGGGATAGGAAAGAGTAGAATGAAACAGACTTTATTACTCTATGTATATATGTGACTGCATGACCAATATGATTCCACAACATGTACACTCAGAAAAATGAGAAATTGTATCCCATCTATGTATGATATATCAAAATGCACAAATGCATTCTATTGTCATGTATAACTAATTAAAACAAATAAAATTTTAAGTAAAAACTATATTACATCTATCAAAACTAAAATTTACCATTGATAAATTGCTATGACAAAACTGTATTTTGAATTCCATCAGTTTTTCTAATGTCTTTTTTTCATTTTCAAAATTCAAATGAAAAATACCATATTGCCCATAGTCATCATATCTTCTTAGTTTCCTTTGATTGTGATTACCATTTTAATATTTTCTTGATTTTCATAATCTTGACTATTTTAAAATTTACTAGTCAGGCATTTTGTAGAATGTTTCCATTTTCATTTGTCTTGCTTTCCCTGGATTAAACTGGAATTACATGTTTAAAGAAAAATATCATGGAGATAAGGCCTCATATCAAGCTATTCATAATATCGGCATGATATGGTGATGATGACATTGATCATTTAGTTATGGTGATGTCTGCCCAGTGACTGAATTGTCAAGGTGCTATCATTCATCTTTCCAGTCTGTATCCTCTAGGTATAAGTCACAGATTCCAGTCTATTTTTAAACAGTGGATTGACTAAATTACATTTCCAATAGTATCTGCACATATATTTTTTTAATTCTTCCATAGAGAAGATCTGTCACATCTACCCAACTTGTTTTTTCATTAATTAATACCTATGTATATATTGGTTAATAATCCAATACTACTTATTGTTTACTCAAGTTAATACAAAATTACTTAATTAATTCTTTGGGGGCTTCAAATAATAACTTAGATTCGTCTTGTATTTCCCTTTCTCCAGTCTCCCAATCAGCCACTTACCCAATGACTCTGATTCCTTTCTTTGAGATGGTTATTTATAACCAAAAGTCTGCGCACAGGCTGTTTTTGAGGTTGTTGCTGTTGTTGGTGTTGTTTTGTTTTGCTCCAGGAATCTCACTGCTTCTATGCTTTCTTATAGATAGAACTGGGAAATAGTTTTATGCATACAAGTCATTTTTGGTTGGTAGAATAAAGGCCAACAGAGACGTTCATGCCCTGTTCTTCAGAATTTATGAATATGTTATGTGACCTGGCAAAAGTGATTTTGTAGATAAGTTACAGAATTTAAGATACAGATTTTATCCTTTTTCATCTAATTGAGATAAACTTCATCAAAATGAGTCTTTAGCAGGCTGAAAGCTGAACTCTGATGAAGCACAATTAAAAGTCAAAGACATTCCAAACTTAAGAAGGGTTCAGGGCACCATTGCTGCTTCTGAGATACAGGCACCATGTGCAGGAATCTGATGAGACTTTAAGAACTTGACAGAAAGCAAAGAAACTAGAACCTTTGTCCAATAATGTAGGAAACTAGTTTTTGCCAAAGCCCAAATGAGCCTTTAAGTAAATTCTTCCTTGAACCTCCCAATTCAACCCAGCAAACAAAACTCTGAATTCATCTTTGTAAAACAAAGAGCAGAGAAACCAGTCACACAACCTGGACTGCTGACACAAAACTGTTTAGGAACAAAACTATGCTAAGTAGCTAAATTTGTAATAATTTGCTACAATAGCAATAGAAAACTAACACATGTGAACACTTGCAGGCCTACAATTATTTCTAAAAAATAGTATGTGTATATGAGCATATCAAGCTAACACTTGTATCCCAGGGTTGTAGCTTGTTTTCCTCTTGCTTATTTATATATTTTTTCTGACAGTGATTAACTTAACTTCCACTGTCTTTCATTACTTATTTTATTTATTTTCAGTATGAACATAATTTCAGAATTGTTAATCTATATTCCTATGATAAACAAAGTTTTTATATGAAAATTAAAATTTTGTACAGTTCTTTTGTCTTTATCCTTAGAAACTGGATTTTTTTTTTACTAAAGTCATCTTCTTTTCTCCATATTGCCTCCAGTGACATGTGTTGCATGTCATTATATAATTACACTCAATTTGAACAGTCTGAATCCCATTCAATACTGAGATTCCCAAACTTCTTTGTTCACTTTTCAAAATTTGAATTCACTAAGATCACTTTTTTTTAATGTACAATTCTATGAACTTTTCACAAGCATTTACAATCTTGTATACACCATTCCACTATCATATAGAAAAGTTATATCACACTAAAAATTCAGTGGTGTGTCCCCATCATACTTGATAACTTCATCTCACAATAGGAATTACTGATAGCATTTCCAATTTTCTATGTTTGTTTTCAAATACTTTGTGACTTAAATCACATGAAATCTCAGTACTTTTGTGTCTGTTATCTTTGGTTTCCAAAGTTCATTTAAATTTCATACAGAATTTTTATGTATAAGTAGCCTTTTCTATTTGATTATAAATATTTATCTGTATGGATATATAATAGTTTATCCACATACCAGTTGAAAAATGTCATTTCATAATTATTAACAAAGCTCCCCTAGACATTCATATATATATATATATATATATATATATTCATATATATATATATATTCATATATATATATATATATATATATATATATATAATTTGAAAGAAAATGTGTTTTGATATACTTGGATAACATCTAGGAATAGTAATGATAACTCAGATGGTAGACTTATGTTCATATTTATAAGAAACTATCAAGTTGTTTCCCATAGTGAATGTAACATATTTCATCCCCCATAGCAGTAACTAAGAGTTTTTATTGTTATGTGAATATATTCAATAGTAATTTTATTGTTGGATGTTTTATTTATATATTTTATAATAAGATAATAATTATATCATTATATTAAATACCTAGGAATGGAATTGCTGGGTCAAAAGGTAACATGGTGTTTAATAATTTAAAGAAATGCCAAACTTGCCAAACTGTTTCCTAATGTGGTTGCATTAGTTCACATTCTTACTTGTAATATGTAAGGATTAAATAGTTTGTACACAGCTGTCAACACTTCTTTCTTTCTTTCTCTCTTTCTTTATTTTAATTACAGTCATTCATCCTGTTGATGGTGCCTCAAATATATTTCTGTCAGATACTTCATGCTATGTAGCAAAAAGTTGAATGAAAAAATTGCAAAACCAATTTTCATTACAAAACCAATCAGGTGTAAGTATCTGAATTTTTTAAATGCACTCATTTTCATTTGTAATAGATATTTACATCTTCAAGTAAACCATATCTATTTTCAGCTCATTTTTCTCCTCTTACACTTATAAAAATCAAATCTTTCATTATATGTATAAATATTGAATGATTCATCATTACACTTAAATTTTGTAATGATTGTCTAAACATTATTACCTTGAGATAAAAAGTTGTCATTTTGTTAATAGCTTGATCATTCTACAATGTGCACAGGTGTCAAAATATCACATTGTGTTCCATAAATACATTAAAGAAAAATAATTTTAAAATGCCACTTTTTTTCTTTTATTTTTGTGAATTATTAATGTTTTTCAAGTTCCCTTTGGAGAGGTCAATTATCTTGAATACACTTTTCAAATCAATTTTTACAGTAGTTATTATCCCTCCTTTATCTATCTCTACCTCTCTATTGTCTTCTAATTTGCCTTAACAATGAAATGAATTTTAATCCTTCTCTTGTATTTTTATTTTCCTTGAAGTAATTTATAATTTCTTGTGGATCCTTTGCACAGTATATTAATTAATACTCATCACATTTATTTTGTCTTTGTGTTTTCCTGAATCTACTTAACAGGAAAAAAAAAACCTTTCAAAATGAGTAACAAACTTAATTCATTCATTTGTTCATCATTTCCTTCACTCAAAAAAATATGTTAAATACCACATACATTTGGACTATATATAACAATGAACAACACACACACACAAACAAACAAACAAGCACCTGCCTCAGCTATATGACAAATAAAAACAAAAGTCAAGAGAAGTTAATTCTTATGAAGAAAATCAATAAAAATGAGAAGCAAATTATGAGAAGCCAATTATTAGAATGTTGGGGTTGTCTAAGTTCTGTAAAGAAGTGAGAACAAAAAGAAATAAAAAAGGAGTGAGGAATTAACCAAGAGAGATACCTGGAAATCATCCAGGTAAAAGAAAAGAAGAACAGATTGTTGTGTTTTTTATTTTCATCCACTCTTGGGCATTTGGGTTGTTTTTTACTTTTTTTTCTCTTGTTTTGTTTTTCATTTTAGAGTATTGAATATGATTTCTAGAAAGTATCTTAATGTGAAAATATATATTAAACAAATTCCTAGAAAAATTATTTTTAGACTCGGGTATATGCAAATATTCAAATTTATGTAATACCAAAAAAATAATTTCCACTTATTTCATTATTTTTCACTTCAAACAAAAATGCACACACTATATAATAGCTCCATATCAGCTACAGAACTTAAAATTGTAGCAGTTTTAATTTTTGCACTTCAAATATGAGTAAATTATCTTCAATTTGGAAATTTGTTATGGCATTAACTTAATTTATCACCATTTTAGAGAGCTATTCAATGAATTATGAACACTAATTGGACATCGCAGTGTGTACTTTTCAGATTTATCACATCATTCTTACTTTGATGCTTCCTTATTTCCCAACTTGCCCCAAATCAGGCACCACCACTACTTTGCTACTTCTACCTGACAGTTGGAAGGAACACCTGGCAACACATTCCAAACGCATATTGGCAGGACTCTGGACCAATGGGCAGGCCGCATTGCCTTCCCCGGGCCCACAGCTGCCACGTGGGAGACTCCGGACCCAGGAAGGGGCGGGCAGAGGGGAGGCGTTAGGCAGCCCCACCAACAAGCCTCCCAGCCTCCCACCTAAGACCATTCTTCAGCACCCACAGCCAGGTGTGCACTAGCCCTTCCTACTGCCAAGATGTCCCTTTCTAAGAAGCTGACTTTGGACAAACTGGATGTCAAAGGCAAGCGCGTCATCATGAGAGTGGACTTCAACGTTCCCATGAAGAAGAACCAGATTACCAACAACCAGAGAATCAAGGCCGCCGTCCCCAGCATCAAGTTCTGCCTGGACAATGGAGCCCAGTCGGTGGTGCTGATGAGCCACCTGGGCCGGCCCGATGGCGTCCCCATGCCCGAGAAGTACTCCCTGGAGCCTGTCGCTGGCGAGCTGAAATCCTTGCTGGGCAGGGACGTGACTTTCCTCAAGGACTGTGTGGGCCCAGAAGTGGAGAAGGCCTGCGCCAGCCCCGAAGCCGGCTCAGTGATCCTGCTGGAGAACCTGCGCTTTCACCTGGAGGAGGAAGGCAAGGGCCAGGATGCCTCTGGGAACAAGGTGAAGGCAGAGCCCGAGAAGGTGGAAGCCTTTCGCCAGTCACTGTCCAAGCTAGGGGACGTGTATGTCAATGATGCTTTTGGCACTGCACACAGGGCTCACAGCTCCATGGTGGGAGTGAATCTGCCCCAGAAAGCAGCCGGGGTCCTCATGAAGAAGGAGCTGGAGTACTTTGCCAAAGCCTTGGAAAACCCAGAGAGACCCTTTCTGGCTATCCTGGGTGGAGCCAAAGTGGCAGACAAGATCCAGCTCATCAAAAATATGCTGGACAAGGTCAACCAGATGATCATCGGGGGCGGGATGGCCTTTACCTTCCTGAAGGTACTGCACAACATGGAGATTGGTGCCTCCCTCTTCGAGGAACAGGGAGCCAAGATTGTCAAGGAGATCATGGCCAAAGCAGAAAAGAATGGTGTGAAGATTACCTTTCCCGTGGACTTTATCACGACTGACAAGTTCGATGAGCATGCCAACACTGGAAGTGCCACCGTAGAATCTGGCATCCCCGATGGCTGGATGGGTTTGGACTGTGGCCCTGAGAGCATTAAAAAGAATGCTCAAGTTGTGTCTAAAGCCAAGCTCATCATTTGGAATGGTCCTTTGGGAGTCTTTGAATGGGAAGACTTTGCCAAGGGAACCAAGGCCCTCATGGATGAAATCGTGAAAGCCACCTCCCAGGGTAGTGTCACCATTATAGGGGGCGGGGACACTGCTACTTGCTGTGCCAAATGGAACACTGAAGACAAAGTCAGCCATGTGAGCACTGGAGGGGGTGCCAGTCTGGAGCTCCTGGAAGGTAAAAGCCTCCCAGGAGTAGAGGCCCTCAGCAATGTGTAACTGACAGAGTCCCCTCCTCCTGTTTTCTGTCCTCAGCCTTTAGGTTAACTCAGTGCTCTAACATCTCAGCTTGACTTTGGTTAAAAACTACCAGATAACAAGACCCAGGAAATGGGAAGGCAGTGTGTTATCCACTTCTCCTTACATCAGTGAAAGCACTTGTTCACTTTAGCTGTGTCATGCCTTTGCCTACCCTCTTCAAGATCTCCTTTGGACCTGTGAACTTCACTGCTGTGCCTCATAGGGAGGATATATTCTTAAGGTGCCCATTAAAGTGAGTCAATAAAGCTGAATCTCTCATTTTTTAAATTTTTTAATAATGGGGTATGATGGTGCTTAAATTGGCAAACTATTAAACAATGAATGTACCCAAATAAACAAAAATATTTACATTTAAAAGCTAATAAGTATCATTAGGGCTCTGCTGAGAGATTTTTTCCCTAAATATGAAAAAATATTTTTTAAAAGCAAGAAATTTGAATAATAAAAAATGTATTAAATATTAAGAAGAAATTAGTCTGTAAGCATATACAAATATATATTATAGATGGAGCAACAAATTAAACTCAAATTGGAAATAATTTTTTTCCCTTACAGCACATGTAATTTAATAATAATCAACTAATTAATTAATCTTAACCTGGATTTTTTAGATTAATAAAAATATGTCTATAATTCTTGTATGAAAAATAAAACAACTCATACTAGAAAATAAAAAAATAACATTATAAATATGGAAGAAACAAAAATATTTAATAGAGAATATTTCCCCAATTCTGTAAAAAAAAAAAAAAAGAAGAAAAAGAAAATGTTTCTAGAGTGCACTGTTAGCAAGAAAGATTAAAAAAAATGCAATCACTTTTTTCAGTTTTAATTTCCTGTGTTCATAACATGAAATCAATTTTATCTATTCATTATCCTGAATAACTTTTACATAACTCTTAATACACATGAGTTACCATACTGGAATTTAAGAGAATATTAGTAATGTGATGGTCATCCCAAGAAAAAGGTAGGAGTTAAGGTATAACCTTAAAAACAAAAGAAGACAAAAGTTTCAGTATTTTTTTAATTTTAATATATATTTTAGATGTAGCTGACATACTTTTATTTTATTTATTTATATGTGGTGCTGAGGATCAAACCTAGGGCCTCACACGTACTAGGCAAGCGCTCTACCACTGAGCCACAACCCCATCCCCAAGTTTCCATATTTTAAATAAGTAAAAAAGTACACTGCTTTCTCACATAAAAGTTGATGGGTAAAATGTAGGCTTTTCTCCATGCAATTAATAAGTGGGTACCATCTGTCTAAAGTGTTAGTCTGAGATCTTGCTACATGGTTGATAGCCTGAAAGGGAAAGCTAGTGAGAGGTAAGGAGTCTTATTTTAAATACATGACCCAAAAAGTTCAAGAATAATTTTGACTTAATATGTCCACAATTAGTTGTGAGATAAAGCCTATTTGTCAAGGAATGCATGAGTTATAATCTCTCCATCTGATATCCAGCACCCAAAGAATAAACCATAGAATCTACTACTAACTGGAATAGGATGAGGGGAAATCAGCAGTTTCTAACAGACTGTCACTCTAACCATCCAAGTATTCATGATATTTTCTACATATAGAAAACAAAACTTGTCCAAGAAGGACAATAAGTTTCTTGCCTAGTCACTACACCCTATTCAAATTTGGATATCTCTGGGTGCTGCACAACTCTTTCAATGGGAGCCATACATGACTGGAGAGTCAGGCAAGCTAAAAAGCACACCATTTTTCTCATGTCTTTCACTCTCCCCATTGCATACATAACCATTATACAATAGTGGAAAGAAGTGGAAAACTATAATAAAAATTCAAAACTGATAAAGACTATTAGTTTATTACAATTTTGAAGTAAGTCATGGTGGGCCAGAATTTTAAAAACCATCTTATCTACCGATGGGAGAATTTCTGTGGCTAGACTGATTCTTTATTCTGGAAGAACAATTAAGAAATTTTCATTGTTTTTTAACTTCCGGACAGCTTCTGAAGCAGATTTTGAAGAGCTGGGTCACATCAAGCCACTTCACAGGTTTCCTTTCTTCCCTGTGCTGGGACAGTTTATGGAAACCAAGGATGTCTTCATGTATCACAAAATTAAAAGCCTTTGAAGGGCAGAATAGAGGTTTCTTAACTTTCTCAAAAATCCAGATTTCAGGTTGGGGTTGTGGCTTAGTGGTAGAGCACTTGTCTAGCATGTGTGAGGCACTGGGTTTGGTTCTCAGCACCACATTAAGTAAATAAAAGATATTGTGTCCAAATATAACTAAAAATATTTAAACAAAAAAAATGAGAAAAAAAGAATCCATGTTTCTGGTTTCTTTAATGCACTGCAAAAGAACCTAACTCAAAAATCTCTTTTAGTTATACTTCTGTAGGTATGTCTAACTCTTGCTTTTACTAAATAGGCTTCTTTGCTAGGACTACCTTGCACTTCTTTAAGGATGAGAAGCTGTGGCCATCTGATAAGCAGGCAGGAGAGCCTGTGATGAATCCAGAGCAGACAGTTTATCTTTAGGTAAGAGCATGTGAATTCATATCATTCAGCTGATAAGGAACCTGGGCAAGGTAGTTTGTGGCTGGGTCTCACTAGGGGCTCGTGCTGACAGATGAGCTGGCTTCAAAAAAAGCTGGTTGCAACATTAAGATAAGAAAACGGAGAAGAAATCACACAACACAGAAGTAGTTTTCATGTCAAGAGTGGGACTGCTCTGTGACCTCAAGGGTCCTCTTCCATGCTGGAAGGCAAGAAAGTGAGTGCACTGGGAACCCCTCTGTTTATTAAGAAAAAGACATTCGATAGAATATTCTACCCAAATAAGGCAGGGGATAATGTTTCAAAAGGGGGTTTGCCCAATCCCATTGGGTAATGCTCAAGTCCAGAGCTGAAGCATTTCCTTGGAAAGGCCTCTTGCTTTGCACAGCATGTGGTGTGCAATACCAGTCCAATACCCCTTTACTCAAGGCTGAGGGGGGGGGGGATGCTTTGCTCATGGGCATAGCGGCCCCCTCGCCACAGCTGGGTGCTCATAGGCCACGTTAAAGCTACTACTAAAAGAAAGGAGAATAACGATGAATGAATTCAAAATAACATCCAAAAGAAGAACCTATTTACATTTTGCCATACCCTGGAAGATCCATGGGAAACATACATTTGTAGATTTTTTTATCCTAAAAGAAAGAACAAGCAAAAGTATTTTTTGAAAGAAGTTAAAATGAATTAAGAAGAAAATAACATGAGATGGCAAATAAACTAGAAAAAAGTATTTAAAAAACATTAATTCAGGTGTTGGTAGTACAAAATAGAAAATGGCATTAAAAGGAATATGAAAAAGCTTTGAGATAAGAATCAGAGACTTGGATTAGAATATTGGAGAAAACCAGAAATGAATTAGAAACATATATGCATATACATATGCATATTGATGCACATATGTTGATATGGTTTGGATAAGCTCATGAGTGAGACAATGCAAGAATGTTCAGAGGTGAAATGATTAGATTAAGAGAGATGTAACCTCATCAGTGGATTAATCAGTTTGAATAGGTTAACTTGGGATAACTGCAGGGAGGTAGGGTGTGACTGGAGGAAGTAGGTTACTATTGGCAAGACTTTGCAGTATATATTGCCCCTGGTGAGTGGAGCTCACTCTCTGCTAAGTGGCTGCCATAATAACTTGCTGTTTTCCTGCACCATGCCCTTTCACCATGATGTGCTGCCTCGCCTCCGACCCAGTGCTGTAGAGTTACCAGCCAAGGACTGAACCTCTAAAACCATAAGCCAAAAAAATTTTCCTCCTCTAAGTTGTTCTTGCAAGTTCTTTTGTTCACAGAAATGAAAAACTGACTAATATACATGTCTCTCATATACATAACTGTATGACAAATTCATTTTATATAATATTTTGTGCAGTTTTACATCACAAATTAAAATTCTATATGCATTAAAATATTGAGCTGTTTATTTGCTAAATGAAAATTTCTGAAAACTTAAAATTAAGGTGTTACCATCAGAATGTAGTATCAGCTTGGATTTTTTTATTCAAGTTTACATTATGGAGTTTGTTTTACCCAAGCCTGCATTTTGCATTATTTAATTCACTTGCTTATATATGGCTATTGTTTTATTTTCTGTGCATTTTAAACAAAATTATCTCTATTGTTATTTTTATTTAAAACAACATTAGCTAATAAAACTGTCATGAAGTCAATGAAAAAATAAAATTAGGTGCTGTTCTTCATGCTTTTATTCTTCCATTAATGTTACTTGTAAGTAATTTCCAATCTTACAACGTGAGTAGGAGTCTCCTACATGTTGGCTCAAATTTTGAGATTCCTATAACAAAATTTATTCATCTTAAAACTTGAAAGATCACATAAAAACGGGTAGGAAAATATTTGGGAAGTGACAAATTGGAGGGTATGTGAACTGATATACAAGATAATGCTTTAGTTGGCCTCTACTTACCTCAGAGTCCAACAGGTCCACTTGGGGTTCCCTCCCTTCTCCATGGCCTGAGAACTTTCCCCAGGCTATCAGGGCAATTGTGGGCTCATCTTTGTTCCCTCTTCCACAGCCATTGCTTTGTTTTGCCCATCTTTTTACTTGCTTCATATGACAGTGTTGGTCCAGTCCAGGCTGTTACGCCTTAGTCATGAATTTAGAATCAGAATTATTTCTTTTGATTTTTTTTTACAACAACATTATTTTTAAGACCCAGCAGATCTGGATGTACTGTTTTTTTATTTGTACTGGTTTTAAATATTAACACAAAATACTTTTCAATGCACCAGAGTCCCTTAACTAAAAATGGATTATTTGTTTAATATTCTTTATCTTTTAGATCAGTTTTGTGTACATGACCAAATTGAGTAGAAGGTATATATGCTCCTGTCACACCACATACTGTATCTCTCCACTATCAGTGTCCTGCCCCATAGTGCTTTATTTGATTTGTTACAGTCATGAACCTACCTTCATACTTCATCAAGCAAAGTCTGCAGTTTACATTGGGATTCTTTCTTGGTGCTGTACATTGTGTAGATTTTGACAAACAAATTATGTTGTGAATCCAATATTGTAATATAATTCAGAATAATTTCATTGCTTTTATAATCCTCTATGATTTGCCTATTTGTTTCTCCCTCCTCCTTAACCTCTGGCAACCACTAGTATGTCTATGGTCTCTATAGTTTTGCCTTTTACAGAAGGTCATTCAGTTAGAATCATATAGTATGCTACTTTTTCAGATTGGCTTCTTTCACTTACTAATATCCCTTTAACAGTCCTCAACATCTTTTCACACCTTGTTAGCTCAATTCTATTCAGTGCCAAATAATTGTGTATACCACAGTTTATTAAACCATTCACCCTAACAGGTCCTACATGTCACTTCCAAGTATTGACAATTAAGTACAAACTTACTATAAATGACCACTCACAGTTTTTTTTAAATATTTTTTTAGTTGCCAATGGATCTTTATTTTAGTTATTTATATGTGGTGCTGAGAATCACCTGTGCCTCACACATGCTAAGCAAGCACTCTACCACTAAGCCACAACCCTAGCCCATTCATAGGTTTTGTTTGTGGACATTTTAAAAATTTTTTAGGACACACACACACAACACACACACCAAGGGCTGTGATTGTTGGATTATACAGTTAGAATATACTAAATTATGTAGGAAATGGCCAGAATGTATCCCAAAAGGCTTTACAATTATATAATCCTACCAGCAGTATATGAGTGCTCCTGTTGCTCCACATCCTTGCCAATATTTAGTGTGATCAACCTAACAAGCATCTTGTCTCACTTCATTGTTGTGTTAATTTGGATTCCTGTAACAACGTGTGGCATTGAGCATCTTTATATTCTGACATTTCTGACTTATAATCTGGATATCTTTTTTTACAAATCTTTTGTCCATTTTTTATTGAGTTGTTTATTTTCTAGTCATTGAGTAATAAGAGTTATTCATATAATTTGGATAGCAGTTCTTTAACGTCTTTTACAAATATTTCCTCCCAGTCTGTGACTTGTCTTCTCATTCTCCTTTATCTGTCTTTCACCGAAGATTATAAGTTTAATGAAGTCCAACTAATCATTTATTTCTTTCTGATATGGTGCTTTGGTACTGTATCTAAAAATGTTACCTATACAAGGTTATCTAGGATTATCCTGTTATCTCACTAGAGTTAACTAATCTTGTATTTCACATTTTTAATTAATTTGAATTAATTAATTTCTCTTCTTTGAATTAATTTTGTGTAGAATCTACGATCTGTGTCTAGATACTCTCCCTCCCTCTCCATGAGGATGTCCACTTGTTTCAGTATCACTTGTTGAAATTGTGTCTTCTTTTCATTATATTACCCTTGATCCTTTTTCAAATATCAGTTGACTATATTCTATGTTTATAATGGCCTTCAGTTGACTGTTCCATTGGTATAGTAGTCTATTCTTTTTCTAATATCACACTATTTTTATTCCTATAACTGGGTAGTAAATCTTGAAATTACATCACATCATTATTTTAACTTTGCTCCTTACCTTCAAATAGTTACCATTTTATGCCTTTGCCTGTCACCCCCCTTCCCCCCACACACACACAAAATAGAATCAGTTTGTCAACATTTAAGACAATAACTTCCTGGGATATTTTATGACATTATATTGAATCTATAGATCATTTTGATAAAAACTGATATTTTAAAAATATTGAATATTTCTACTCATGAACATAAGGTGTCTACATTTATTCATTTATTTTTAGATGTTTTCAGCAGATTTTACTCATATAGATCTTGCACTTGTTTTATAAGATTTGCTGATATAATGATAATGTGTTTTAAATTTTACATTCCATTTTTTTCTATTGATGACATGTAGAAAATCCATTAGTTTATATATGCTTGCCATATATACTACAATATTGCTAAATGTCTTAATTTTTTAATATATAAAGTTTCTATCATCATGTCATTTGTGATCAAAGAAAGTTTTATTTTATCTTATAGAATATATTTATTTTGTTCTTTCCATATGTTTCTGCTAAGACATCCATTATAATGTTAAAAAGCAGTGTGAAAGAGGGCATCCTTCCTCTTTCTGATTTTAGAGGGAAAGCTTTAAATTTCTTGCCATTATCTACAATGTTAATAGTAGGTATTTTGCAGATGATCTTTATTATATTGATGAAGCACCCCCGTTTCATACTTTTGAGGTCCCTTTTGAGGTCCTGTCATTAATGTACTTTGAATTTGTCACAGGCTTTTTCTGCATCTATTGAAATTATCATGTGGTTTTTCTATATTAGCCTGTTGATGTTTTGAATTATACTAATTAATTTTGAATGCTGAGTCAAACTTACATAACTGGGATGAATCCTGTAGGGTTGTAATGTGTACTGCATTTTTACACATTGTTAAATTCACTTTGTTTATATTTGTTGAAGATTTTTACATCTTAGTACACAAATACTAGTCTGTAGTTCCTTTTCTCATGTCATATCTTTT